TTTATTTATTTTTTTTATTTTTTTAAATTTAGACAAGAATTTTTTGAAAATAAAAAAGCATAATAAATAGAAGCTCATCAGAAACAAAAGTTTAAAATTAAAAACATTAAAAGAAAAATGTTTTACGGACTATTTGGCGTCGGGTAAAGAAATGGTAGGGCTTATCCAATTTTTTAAGGTTTAAAAACAGTTTATTTCGATTTCCGCCAAAGCTACGACTGCTATATAAAAAAGTAATATGGCAGTGTTGTAGGTAATGAAACGATCTATAACTTTTGCATGTCCACTTTTTTCAAATAACCTCGAAATTTATGTAGAAATTTAAATAACCAATATATGGGTTATTATTTTGTCATGAGCAAAAAAAAATTTACGAATTTCAGTGGACACTTACATTTGTCTGACCCAAATACTCAACATTTTTAGCCTAATTTTTGTTTTAATTTTTTATTAATGATTTTATTTCTCTATTGATTTACTATCGAAAAAATCAATAACTTTCACTCCACAAATCGCACGTCAAAATGTCAGCACTTTTTTTTAATGTGATTAGGCTTTATGATTGCTCAAATCTCTTCTTTCTGTTGGTATTCAAAATATTAAGCTCTAAGAACAATGAAATCTTAGCTTTTTAATCCAGGTAATCAACAGTTAAACCAACGAAGAGCTTCAAAATAAATGTAGAACAATTTTTTAATCCCCTTTTTTTAAATTAATGAAAATTATATTTAAATCTGAGTATAAAATACAATTTTTTTCTTATTAATCCATATTTTTATGTAATAAAGTAATCATATATCTTCTCTTTCAAATAATTGTGTAGTTTTACTAAAATGTTTCAAGAAAAAGTTTTGTTAACATGTTTCAAGAAAAATGAAAAGARCACTTTACGCGAGCCAAGTTTTGATTGTTTCAAGAGTCTGATCAAAAAGTATGCTTCCCTGGCAATGACGAATTTGTTTTCTTGAAAATGTTTAACAAAACTATTTTTTGGCGTTTCTAGCGGTATGTTTGTTTGTTTTGTTAAAAAATAGAGCTTTCGTCTATCAAGTCAAAAAAGCTATTTTTTCAACGCGTTAAGTGCTTTCGTAAAAGAAATTAAAATTTGTACTTACATTTTTTTCTACCAAAAAAGTTAATATTTTTTTCACGTGCAATTTTTTATTTT